CAAAAGTATAGTATGGTGCAAACTCTTTCCTAACCTTGACTATCTACCCAGGTTTTAATAATTCCTAGTTTGTTGTAGGGGATTTCCCAATTTTATTTGACATTCTATTTACGATTACATTTTTATGCTTATCACTAATTTAACCTGAGTATCTTTCTTGAAATGTAATTTCACTCATCTCAACAAATCAATAGTATTAAAAAAAAAAAATACCAAAACTTTGTTAGTTAATGACGACTATTCCAGAATATTTTCTTCTTTCCTTCACCTTCCCCAGTGGAAAATAAGGCTTCAATCTAGTGGCTTGTAGTTTCTGTCGCCGTGTCCACTTTCACAGGATGGGGGTGCTGGAATCATGCCCAAGCTTACCTCTTCACCGAAACACGAATACACGCCATTCCATCCAATCGGATTCGTGTCCCGAGCGATGCTGGGGACATCACTCGTACCAAATTCCCAAGAAACTTCATGAACTCTCCTACAAACAACTCTCACCATGCTACGGCGTTCCCGGTAAGCGACGCGCCCTGTGCTCACCCGGTGGCCAGTGTGAAAAGTAAGCTAGCTGGGAAATTAACACTTAGAAACCAACTATTTGTTGGCTGCTGGAATGTTAGGACGCTGTTGGATCCTGGTAGCCAGTCTATCACCATGCGTTCTTTATATGACTACAAGGTAGACATAGCGTGTCTATCTGAAGTGAGGTTACCCGATCATGGCTCCCGCCGAATAGCCGTTCCTGGAACAGATTCTTCATTCTGGTTGCTTCATAGTGGCCCCCAGAATAATTCGGGACAACATGGGGTAGCATTTGCTCTCAGTAACAAAGCCAATAATGCCCTAATATCATTCGAACCGGTCAACTCCAGAGTTGCAGTCGCTAGGTTCAAGGGTTCCCCGCTCGACATTTCTGTTCTCGCTGTCTATGCCCCAACCCTCGACTCTGATGAAAGTATCAAAGACGAATTTTATGACAATCTTCAAGAGGCAATCAACAAAATCCCAAAGCGTGACGTTCTCATAGTAGCCGGCGATTGGAACGCCCGCACTGGCCCTTCAGACGACGCGACAAAACATATACTAGGCAAACACGGTCTCGATCAGCGCTGCCGTAATGGTGATAGACTTTTATCTTTTTCTGATTACAATCGATTATATATCACCAACACTCGATTTCAACACCCCAGAAAACATCTTCTCACCTGGTATTCGAACGACGGTCGCACTGCACATCAGATCGACTACATCCTAGTGCGCTCACGCTGGATCTCCTCGGTGGAAGACTGTCGATCCTATCGTGGAGCAGAGGCCGGAAATAAAGGGGGATCAGACCATACTCTAGTTAGGGCGAAATTCAAACTTCGTTTAACGACACGCCAGAAGACGCGACCTCCGAAGCGTATCAATGTTGCCCCGCTTCAATGTTCTACAAGACGACAAGCCTTGTCCAAACAAATCCAGGCCGAACTAAGCACCGCAGATGAACCAACATCCACATCTTCTAATACACCCGAGACACGATGGAATCATTTCAAAGAAGTAGTCTCTAAAGCTTCAATGACGCATTTGGGTACCACATCCAAGAAGCAGAAAGACTGGATTTCAGAGCACACCATGCTTCTATCCTCGCAAGCCAGAGACGCTCGCCTAGCAAAGTCTCCAGTTTATCGCTCCCTCAGGCGCAAAGCTACACAGTCTGCTAGGAACGACAGAAATCGCTATTGGTCTAACGTGGCGACTAACATGGAAGCAGCAACAAATGTAGGCGATTTCGGAAAACTTTATCGCCTCTTACGCCAATCATCTGGCAAACGCCTTAACAGTCATGCTGTGTTACGCACAGCATCAGGAGAAATTATTTCGGACACCAATGGTAAGATGGAACGATGGGCCGAACACTTCAAGCAGCTACTCAATCGCGACGCTGGTCAACCGTCTCATCGACCGATACGACACTTACCAACACCCTACGTAGTTGACTGCGATCCACCCACTCCAACCGAAATAGCTAAAACAATTAACACACTCAGAAACAAAAAAGCTCCGGGCGAAGATGGTCTACCCCCAGAAATATACAAGGCCTGCACTCCAGCGCTAATCGATGCACTGCACTCGCTGTTCTGCTCAATTTGGGAGTCCGAAACCATTCCTTCCGATTGGAGCACCTCAGTTCTGCTACCGTTCCACAAAAAGGGAGACAGGTCAATATGCGAGAACTACCGAGGCATAAGTCTGATTGATATCGCTGCTAAGGTTTTTGTTTCCATTCTCCTGAACCGCTTCGCGGCCGAACGCCACGTGCGAACAAGGCCAAATCAAGCCGGATTTCGACCTGGAAGAGGCTGTGTTGATCAATTATTCACACTGCGAAGAATTTTGGAACACAGGGACAAATTCCAACAGCCGACGGTTGCCTGCTTCATCGACTTCCAAGCGGCATTCGACTCAGTTGATCGAGGAGCACTCTGGTATCTAATGGAGCTCGACGGAGTTCCGACCAAGCTAATCAACCTGCTCAGGTCATACTACTCCAACACCAAAGCTCGAGTCCGAGTGAACGGTGAAGAGTCCCGCACTTTTGAGGTAACCAGCGGTGTCCGGCAAGGTTGTCCAGCATCCCCCATCCTGTTCAATTTCACAGTTGATTGGATTTTGCGGCACGCCCTAACCGAGCACCACGGCGTCCAACTTTCGCCCGATATTCACATAACCGACCTCGAATTCGCCGACGACGTCGTGCTGTTAGCTGAAAACTTCCCCGATATGCAACAGGCGCTCGACCAGATAAACCACCTCGCGTCTACTATCGGTTTGAAAATTAACACTTCCAAAACCAAAATGTTTTCGAACACATCCACCGGCAATGATGAAATCTTATCCTTAAATGGAGCACCTATTGAAATTGTGCCATCCTTCAGATATCTGGGATCCATAATGCTCCCCAACGGCCAAGCGAAAAACGAAGTGAATGCGCGAATCTCCAACGCCCGGAATGCGTTTCTACAGCTGAGGAGCGTTCTATGGAGCAAGAGAGAAATCAGTCTCAGGACTAAAATTCGGATCTACCAAGCTTCCATACGACCCGTTCTGCTGTATGGCTGTGAAACCTGGCCTCTTCGCGCGGAAGATTTACGCAGACTCGAGGTATTAGACCATTGGTGTCTCAGGTACATTCTGCATGTTCGTTGGCAGGACAAACTCTCCAACGAAGAAGTGCGTCGGCGTTGCTACAACATCAACCAAATTCCAGTACTGGTCCAACAACGCCGCCTTCGGTGGTTTGGCCATGTTCTGCGCCGACCAGATGACGATCTGGTCAAATCAGTTCTAAATCCCTCGCCATTACCATCTTGGCGATGTCGCAGAGGCGGACAGCTGAAGACATGGCTTGGTACAGTCAAGGCAGATATGGAGTGCCTGGGGCTACAAACGGTCTACGGACTCCGTATGTGGAACAAGAATTGGATATCCCTATCACAAAACCTTGCTTCAGATCGCCGCGCCTGGGCAGCGATGATTCGAGACGTTCATGAAGCCGGCTCATCCTCCCGTAGGAGATAGCCGAAGTAAAGTAAAGTAAGTAAGTGTACACCTATGTACCCCATAAGTTCACGATGAGGGTTTTCCAGCTTCTGTAGGCAGACTTCGATGTCCACCAGTCTTCTTGGAACAAACGTAGTAATAAAAGCACTCATTATTAGGAGTGCAACTATGCTCAACTTCTTTCTGCAGTATATAGGCTTCAAGGGAGTGTGTATAAACAAGCTACAACGGATTCACCAATATCCACAAATAGAGGCGAAACATTTAAGGACAGGTGAGGAGAGTTAGCTCTTACGACGTTCACTCCCAACCTTGAAGTACGTGGAAACACATCTTCAACTAACTGATTACCCACATCCTACCGCTTATCCTTCGCTTTCACTGAAGTTTTCCCACCTTCTTCGTGTCAGTGCAAAAACACCCCGAATTTGACCACTTTTCACACTTCTTCAACGGAGTGTCTTCCAACTTCCCCCTCTCCAACCCACATTGTCAGTGTTCTCGAACAGCTCTCCGACTAGACACCTTCTCATCTTGTATTGCATAGTCTGAAGAAAGCATTTGACTCCATATCACAATTTCAAGTCATCTCACCGTAGGTGTTGTTGAAGACAGGATGAGTTGAATGTTTAAGTAGAAGTAGAAGTGGTAGTAGTGTTAGTAGTAAAAGAAGAAGTAGAAGTTCTAGCACGAGGAGAAGGTGGAGAAGGAGGGAGAGAGAGAGGGAGAGGCAGAAAAAAGGCAGTCATTGCGGAATAAAATCCACGTCACGAAGTGAGAAATATTACTAGAAAAGAAGTCAGTTACTAATACTGTATCACTATTTGTTATATCAAATAAACTTATTTCGAATGGAATTCTATTCTATGACCAGAATGTCCCGAGCCCACTGTCTATCTCACTGGTCATCTGTTTGTCTAATCCACACTGCGTATTCACATTCAGCTGATTAGTCTGAAAACAAGTTGGACGACAAAAAAAAGCTGTACGTGTGATCAAATCTTCTCATATATGCCTCCTTACATTTTCATTTCTCTCAAGATGTTGAGTTCTACAAGGATTCGATTAGTGAGGGACCGGTGGAGTTTGACACGTCCGAAGTACAGCGGATGCGCATCACTTGGAGATGGCAAAGTGATAAGAGTTTCAATTCATTAACCATTGAACAGTAACCAAGTGACTGGATGATTAGTGTTTGACTTGTAACCTGATGGTCCCTGAAGGACACAAGCAGCTGAATAGTCTCAAGCTGTGACAAATCATCTGCTCAGTGCTCCGTGGTGACCTACATTCCTCCGAATAACGTCGGTTTCCGACGCAGTCTACATGGAAATCCCGATTTTCTTCATCTTTTTGGAACAGCTTGGAGTAAATGGCCGAAATAAACGTTGAAATCTCTCATGTATATATATATATATATATATATATATATATATATATACATCTATATATCGACCGCTATCTATCTCAAATTTACGCATCGACTATTACACTTCTGAATCTGTTTTCCTGTTAAGGACTTCTTCAAATTTTGTTGCTGTATGAACTTCCCTACTCGTCGTTCAGTGTGCAACATACCTGTTAGATACGAGCAGAGGTCGTATGCTATTAAGGGTAAGAAATTATCCCCAGTTGTGTACAGGAGATTTCCTAAACTCATAGATCCTCAGCCTCACACATAATCAGTAATCCTTTTCAGTTCCGTATGTCACTTTATACTTCACCACACTTGGTCAAATGAACCCTACTACTGAAGACATCTTCTCGCTGGAAATCCAGAAACTTCATCCCGCCCCAATCCAGTACCAGCACTTATATTAAGACTGACTGAGTACTACTGATGACTTCCAAACTGGAAGGAAACAGCTGTACAGCAAGTACTCCTCGACGCTCAATGATTTTACAACCGATGTCAGTGCTTGATGTAGCCGGAAGCCAGTCGAATTTCATCTGCATATACTAACCACTCGAAAGGCAAAACAATCAAAAACCACTTAGCCCTTTCACTTCACTGCTTCTACCAAATTGTATAAAATAACTCAAGGAAAAACAACATTGAAACATAAACATACAGAAAGATTATTCAACATCACTTACACGAGCCTCCTTAGGTGTGGAACAGTAAGATGCTGTTGTCGACGTCGTCAACTGACTTTCCCATATTCGATACAGATCCGTGGCTATAGCATGTTCCCGTGTATCGCTACTATGCTTCATTGCGATACACGCAAGCTCTTTCAGCAAACAATGAATGAAAGCCAATCTTGTCGTAATCACTCCCTCATTCAAATCCTTTTTAATAGGATATAGTAATCCATCAATCAACTTCTTCAATCCCCGTGAAGTTAGCCCATATCTGTTCAGGTAGAATATTTCAAAAAATAACGCTGGATAAGTCATGTCGTCTAGTGAAATATTAACACAGAAAAAGAGATTTTTATCCTTAACATCATGAGAATACAACATGAAGATGGACAGTTGTGTTTTCATGAACCGGAGTCTGAGAAGTCGACGTGGTTGTCTCAGAAGCCCTCATGAATCATTCACAATCAAGTATTGTTTTTCGGAGATTTGATTGATTACGGGATGAGTGGACCAGCTTCGATCAGTTAGAGAAGCAATGCGAAAGCTTAGTGTCATGTACAGCTGTCTCGTCCTAGTTTCGGACTGTTCCGTGGCACACACACACCACCAGGCTTCGAAATCAGCACCCTCCCACTGCAAATCCGGCTCGTACACCATTCTACCACTGCAATCCGACACAATGTCCTACGAATTACAACTTCCGCCAGATCGTGATTTATGCATAAATCTATATATTCAGCGAAACCACCAACAAGTGTCGAAGGCACCTTATTCACGTAGCCTATTCCGATTGGAACACTACAGAGGTCACCTACTTCCTCTCCAAAACAATAAATGTAGACCATCCTCTCCGCCTAATTTGTCCGTCATATTACCAACTATCACTTTTCAGCACACCCTGTCGTACAAATCTGGTCTTCTCCTGAGTGAATCACATGCTTTTCCACTCCACAGGAGAACATCTAGTAAGTGGAATTTTTCTCCGTGTTCTTCTTTACAAGTGAAAATCACTCATGGATGTACATCATTAAATTTATTACTTATAAGACAGACAACTCATTCTCGTCGCTTCTCTTAATCAAAAATATTTGCATCACCAAAATAACGACAATATGAATCCAGTATACATAGGACATGTTTCAACGCACCAATTTACAACTTGACGAGGGAACACTATCCCAAAATTATACCTGATACGGATTCAACAGTAATACTGTCGAATTGGCTCCATGCTAACCAGAAAATACTGAATGTGGAACACACTCGCACGGTACACCTTCGAAGTAATTCCTTCAGGATGATAACTGGAATGTCAATATCAATCTGCATTTCTTATATCCTTATCCGATGGTACACGAATTCCTCTGTCTAAAATCACTGGTATGCTCATGAATGAACGGTGATAGGTCACCGGATTCGCCTGTTAACTGATAAATTGGTGGTTGGTGCCCACCTGAAGGCGCTTGGGATTTGTGTGGAGGCGGCAGTCATCCAATAATCCGAGTCCTCAGATCCCAACTAGTCGACCATGGATTCTAACACTGCTCCAACCACACAGTCGCAGTTGTGGCTTGCTGCCAATCACATAGAAATACTTCCAAGTTAGTAATCATTCAATGACATTTCATTTCTTTCCGATAGTCATGCTGATGACGATCAAATGTATTCAGCTTCACGTTTATATACTCATCATCATCATCATCACCACAACACCAGGAACAACAAAAACAACAACAACAACAAAATCATCAAAATTAGACGTAATTTCAAAGGAATTATTTCACCCATCCATTAGTTTACGACCTATTTGTTTAAAGATCGTAGGAGTGTTCAACTAATAACCACTTTACAACTGCGTGCTGCTAAGCGGGGTTAGACATTGAAAACTCGACGAAGAGAGAGTCAAGTCCTCGTCTGTGTACTCATTCCACACAGACCACACAATCGTGGCACGCTAATTTCAGTAGGCCAGTCAGGTGAGTCAAATCCAATCTTTATTATTATCATTACTACTATTATTGATGTTATTGTTGTTTTCACATTCAGCGATTTCCCTGCTATTCCGCGCATCTCTTCCGAAGATTTATTCAACTTATTCACAAACCAAAAACCTCTCATCTATCCCACACCTATCACTCTGTCCAATGGCATTATATACTACATAACTTTCGGATTCACCTTGTGCATAATATTAATCAGGAGAGGATTCCAGAGGAGCTGTGTAAACTGACGTCACCGAATACTCGAAAAGTCAAAATTTAACTTGACAATCCATCCTGTTGGACAATGTGAGGAGTGTCGAAATTCTCTTCCGTCCGTGGCCAATAGAACTGCCTTCAAAGCAGCAAGGGAATCTATGGACAGGCACACATTCAACTCTATCAAAGCGACAGTGTTTTCTTCACACAACCACTCGGTCATTTAGGACTCCACTACTCATGAATTCACTCGCTCCTGTCAAGCCAGTCCTACTGACCACTCACAATGGACACTCTCCAAATATCGTGACTCACTCAGTACTCCTACAAAAGAACAATTACCAGCTCAATCCTAGATCGCTTGGTCAACCCAGGCTATCCAGTTCCACTCCAGTCCTCTTTGAAAAGTATCCACAACACAAGGTCAGATGATACAACGCCTCTTAATCCCAATAATTTCACACCTTCTTCTAAAACTGATTCATCCCATGAATGATTTCACATATTGCATAACCTATTCTGTTGTCAGTCAATATTCAACTGTTATATCATCATTACTATTATTATCATCACCGTTCACATTAACATTATTGGCGAGTATTGTATATTTCGATATTTCCCACTGTAACGAGAAGATTCTTCTCAGTCAATCTGCAAATATACCAATTCGTTAACAACTCCATCCTGTGGAGTAACTCAAGCAATACATGTCACATTGTTGAAATTCCCTGTTCACATTCTCCACCCAAGGATGTATCTGGTGTTTCTACTCAATATGAATAAACAAACTGTATGATCAGGATACAAGAAATTCACACTCACTTGGACCGTTCATTGGAAACTCCCTCAATGTCATTTAAAAGTTGATTAGCCCAAATACGCCAGTCAGTGTCATCAGGATCACGTTCACTACACAACGGTAGACAAAGCAACAGAGTGAACACAGAGACATCCAAACAATTCTGATCGACAGAAATGTACATGAGAAAGAATAGTAATATGCAATTAATAGTGTTCTCTGAGCTGGTTGGTTTAGTTGAGGATTTTTCGTCGTCCTTCTGGACAACACCTTCAGTGCAATATTTAGCATAAAGTGAAATGATTTAAATTTTATTCATCACTGATATAATTGCGTCTCCTCGTAACCATCTTTACATATGTATTGACCAGGTGACCAGAAAACTTAAAATCCAAGTCAATAGAAAATGGCCAATACATATGTAAAGATGGTTACGGGGAGACGCAAGTATATCACTCATGAAGAAATTCAAATCATTTCACCTTATGCTAAATATTGCGCTGAAGATGTTGTCCAGAAGGACGACGAAAAAACCTCAAATAAACCAACCAGCTGAGAGATGACTATTTATTGCAAATCATTCACCTGACCTACAAATCTTCTCTATTATTTCAGAATTGTAATATAGCACTGCATGACGGTTTAATGGATCTCGGAGAGCAGATTTCAACGAGTGAATGCATCACAACCTTTCCCTAGGTATAACGCTGTACAGGGAAATGGGATTCCACAGCACCCAAATGACGTGAGTATTGTTAATATACATGCATATATATATATATATATATATATATATATATATATATATATATATATATATATAGAAACAATAACGTATACTTACGATTTATTCAACTCAACGTTGCTTCGTGTCATGTTTGACTCAGCCTGTGCGGATTCAAATGAGCCTCGTAGATTACCTGCCGAGTAGGAAAGCAGTTGAAATCTTTTGATGACTGTTAGCGCACCACAATACAATATGAAATACAAATGTTTTATAATTGGGTCACAATGTGTTTCTCAGCTCAAAGACAATCCAATAGCCATTGTGTGAAATAAGCGAAGGCGAGACCTCGACAAGGCAAAGACGGGTAACGCCCTCCTTCCCTCTTCCATCAGACCTGCCCACACACACCACACCGCACACATACCACACTCTACTGGGATCAAGTCAAGCAGTGATTCTCAAACCCTAATATTCAACGCTATTCCTGCACCTGTCAGTCCTCTCTGAGGAATCTCCTTACACTCTTAGAGTGAATTTCTCAGATCCACCTTGTTGGCAGAGTGAGCTTTAGTGAATAGTCGACCACACCAGAGCCTTGTACGCGTGTCTCAGAAACACAACATACACCCATTCCTTGAGATGCCAGAATACTAGCTGGTGATGCCTCATGTCCGATTTGGTGAAGGTTCCTGACGTTAAATACTTCATGGAACAACTACTTGAGGCTGGTTAGGCACACACAGCCTGTCTGAACTGACATTTAGCTTTGGTTTCGCATCATCAGTGACTCGCCGCCAGTTACGGACCACCCTAGGGTAAGTCCGATGTAGAAATTTTGACACCGACCTTTTCTAACCTTCTCTCGTGAGAGGGCACAGGCAGTATAGCTGACTGGCACTTACACTGGCAAAGTGAACAAGCAATGTGAAAGGTTCAAACCACACGAGGTGACACCAGATCACTTCAAGTGGTTGATTTTTACTTGTGGTTTCAAGAACCCAGAAGATGCTGTCATAAGAAGTCGACTTTCATCACTCGTGAAACAAGACCAGGAAATCACTTTACAAATGGTGACAGCGGAGTGCCAACGCTTCATCAACTTGAAGCATGACAGCGCCATGGTGGAGTGTAAACCACAGTCGTCTGAATTTGGTTCAATTAACACAGTGAAAACTCCTCCGATCACCGTTAAGCATACAGCACGCCAGTCTCAAAATTCACCTATACCTCCGTCAGTGTCCTGGTACTGTGGTTCATGGCATTTTGTCAGGTTTTGTCCTTTCAACAAACATAAATGCTGCAGGTATCATCGTTTTCGGCATCAAGACGGTTACTGTCCAGCACAGAAAAATTCTTCGATGAGTAACAGAGGACGTAGTCCTCTCAAGACGAAACAATCTCCTCAGATACATACCATTTTCACAACTTCCAAAGTCCATTTCACCAACAAACGCAGGCACATTACGCTATCTGTCAACAGCAAACCTATTCGTCTTCAGTTGGATGTGGCATCAGATGTCACCTTAATTTCCCGAGACACGTGGCGAACACTTGGTTGCCCACAGAAAAGCTTGCACTATGTCGGAAACCGCTTTTAGTCTAATCGCTATCCTAACAATCTTCCTGACATCTTGAGACCTGCAGGGGCATTAGATCCAGCCAGTAAAACCTGTTGGGTCACTGCGATGTGCAAACTCGACTACCATGTCAAGTAACAACTATCGGCCGGATGTTTGTTCACCTAACCTAAAATTCACACACATTTCTCAGCATAACATCTGGAATGAATTAATGTCAGTAAAAAGTCTGCAATGAATTCCATATCATTTCTCCAAGTAGTGAAGAAGCTTCTGCTACAAAACGTGACAACTTACCAGAACTGGTCTCATCCTCAGACAGATAATACACAAAGCTTTCATTTCTCCATGAACTGTCATCTCGAGACTCAATCGTCTCCGTCGTAATATTATCCTCTAGACTGTTTGCAGGACCCGAAGGACTTCAGTCAGTGCAAGTGTAGCTAAGAGTTTCGACACAGTCTTTGATAGTAAATCCCACATTGAAATTAAAATTTTCGATGACCTAAGGGAAAAAGATATTAGTGATAGTAATAATAATATTAGTGACAATGATACTACTACTACTACTAATAATAATAATAATCATAATAAAAATAATCGCAATAGTAGTAGTAATAGTTCGTGGACTCACTATCTACAAATCACAAAGGATGACGCACACACACGCACACACAAACTTCGAGACACACCCACAATCATAACCAAAGTGATTCAATCTGTCTGACTGACAGTTATCACACATTATTTTTGATGGATACAGAATAATCTGTAGGAGCTGCGAGTATCATCACCGTACGGTTAGTTCACACGAACACTACTGGAAGTGAAATTGTAATCTCCGGAAACACTACAAATTTCAACTGCATTGGAACAGGTGTGCAGCGCAAGCTAGGCGATTCTTATCACAGTCCGTCGGAGACAACTTGATTTTCAGATGAATATCTACAAAGGTGTTAGTTTTAACGAACATTAGGATATTTCTTAGCGCTTCTTTGCGAAAACGAAAGACAATGTAAAAGTATTCAGATATCAGGAATTCACAGAGTGTGTATGTGGTCGGATAGTTCCAGATTCCCAAGGTTTTGTGTTGGGCTTATTTACGCAAGAAGAAGATGATGACCATTGAACAGTCGATTCACTGTGACAACTCACAGTTCATTCTGTATAGACTGTGCTTCGAAAGACTGAAACAAACAAATAAACACGTTATAGCCGTGAGAATAAACAAAACACTACCTTGGATAGACTATTCTCACTTGGAATCTCTCCCCTACAACGAACTAACGCTCCGTATATGATGACCTCATATACATACTGCTTCCTCTGCACATCAATTAGAAGATTTGTGAAGGGCTTGAAGATTTGTGAATTCCTACTAGTTATGATGTCGTTTCTACACATTGGGATTGCTCGCCACTCTCTCCGCCTACCCTAACCTAACCGATCCTCAAATCCTCAGTCCCTACAGCCTAGTAGTCGAACTAGGCGACGATTAGCAGTGTGTGTATGTGTGTGCGCGCGCAGGTCCACGTGTGCCTGCTGGAAATCTAGTCTCACCGCACAATCAAACACACAAACAATCATACGTTAATTTAATAATTACCACTGTAATATTAAGAACACGATATTCAGAGAAGGCATTCTATTCAACGAGATTACCATCAAGCTGTACAATCGTATACATAAGGATTTTAAAACAAATCATATATCGTGAGGGAATGCAATCAAATGCGTGAAGACATGAAACTATAATAATAATAATAATAATAATAATAACAATAGTAGTGTGAAATGCAATTAAAATATTTGTGATTATAATCATAGTTAAATGTCAAGTGGCAGGTGGCAAAACAGTTAATGCCAGATAGACAATAATTCATAAGATTTATAGGTGTTCGAAAAGACTGTATCATTTTAGGGCTGGTAGGCTAATATGAAACGTTACATTACATGGTATCAAATTTGACAAGATACGATTGAACATTGAGAAAATATTTTTGCATTTAGAATGACGAGTGGAGTGGGAGAAGTGGAAACATTTGAAAGTGAGAATCGTAATAACAGTAACAATAATCGCAGTAATGAGGGAAAGGTACATAGAACAACTGAATAAACAAAACGAGTAAAATCACAAAATTGATTGGAACCATGTTGGCATTCTGAAATCTAATATGAACAAATGCAAAGAGAGACTTATACCAGAATCTATATTCATTAAGGTCACACCGGGTACATGTCACAACGGCGACTCAGCACAACTGTCAACAACCTGGAATATAATTTCGGACACACAAAAATGAATGGATAAAAGAAAACTTTACTTATGAGTACAAAGCATTAATGTGTGAATACAAAGCAAAACAACTCCAACAGTTGGTGTGATCACGGACAGTAATTCTGATCGAAATATTGACAATTGACTCCAACCATCTAATATCATCAAACCAATGTGCACCATGATGGCGAGCTACCTAGAATGGTGGCCACATTACAAACCTGTCTGATAGAATTCAATCTGCACCAAAGAAAGGACTAGACACATCACACTACTTACTAGTGTCCAATCACAAGACTTATCATTGTGTGTAAACTATTGAAATACAACTTCATTATATCTAACCTGAGAGTCAGGAAGACTGGTGCAGAATGTCTTAATCGATAGGGGAATATTACACTCCGGACAAGGGAAATTACAATATGCAAGATGGTGTCAAAAATGACATCTTGATTAGAATGAGATTCATTCTAATTAATGACACATTCAACAACTGTGGAGCCTATTATTACTGTCACTTTCATCACCAATCGCCTCTTAAATGACCAATCCAGTTCCCAAGAAAAAAAGACAGAGGGTGACCGAAAGTAATAGCTTCATGCTACTAATGCTACTACTGTCTGATTTGGAAAAGCGAGATTTCAGCAACCGCCTCCTTCGCTATCACAGATAATCAAAGGCTCATAGGATTTTCAAAGAAATCCGACAATGCCATCGATGTATACAACAGATGAATCTCCTAGTGACATAAAGATGAATAGCCTCAGTGTGCTTTAGTGACTATTCGACTACCTTCGACTCGTAGTCAATTCCATTCGAGAAGGGAAGAGACGCTGACTAGAAAAGGTGGGGAAACATGAAAATCTCTCAAATCAATAATTAATAACTAGAGATAAGGGAGGAAGTAGAAAATTTCAACAAAGTTGTTTTAAACCTTACTTAGTTGGCATGTGTTGCATACCTGAAAGCATTTCTCTCCACTAGCTAATTGCTTGTTGTTTCATCTTCCATCGTCAATTTGAAAACTCAATATCCCATGTCTGGTATTACTATTATTATCATTATTATTATTATTACTGTCGATCTCGTTTCCGCCTCCCAAATTTTCATGATTGTTATCAGAATTCACAAAGTTATTGACTGAGGGATACAAAACTTGTCGAATGTGACCAAGTATGCATTCAGCGAAGTGACTTCTTATTCTAGAAGATCCGGAATCTGTGTAGGCTGGTTGTTTATTCAGTGACCTGAGAGAAGAACAAACAATAATATCACGATACAACATGCTATCAAA